AAATTTTCTATATTCAAATTTTCTATATTCAAATTCCCTTAAAAAGCTGACAGGTTTGTTTTCTTAGGCTTCTGAAAATATTCCAGCCTGCATGTTCTTCAGGTATTCACAGCGTGCTGGGAAATCATCCGCTGGCCTGTTATGAGGTGTCCAAACTGGCTCACCAACAAACAGCCGCATGACTTTGATGTAGTCCTGTAGAGAAAAAGAGAAACATTAGGACAAATGAGATATATATTTTTAAAATCCTGCACACCTTAGCATAAGTATCCACACATTCTCCATAGACTGTTCTCTATAAATTTTGTAAGACGCTGAGGAAACTTTGCTTAACAATCAAGAGCTTCTTAAGTCGGTGATAATTTCCATTATCTCTTTGTAACTTTTGCTTTTAATCCGTGTGTAGCGTTACAAGATAACGTACAAAAGCAAGGGAAATCGCAGAAACGCTTGCATTACAATCACGATCACCATCGCCATCACGTTAAAAACCTATTTTGCAAACCAAAACAGCTACACGAAGGTAAAACTCTCCAAAAACCTCAAAGCACGTGCAATCCCCTTGAGATTGTCACGTGACACACAACGCAACGTAAAACCGGAAATTTATTAATTTTATTTATTTATAAACTTCGCTAGATTTAGCAGGAGAGATCTCACAGAACTAATATTCAAGTAATGAGACTCCTAAACACTCCACCCATCCCACCCCAGGGGAGGACATCCATCACACAGTAATCTCGTGTGTGGGAATTAACGTCTCCTACCCCTAACCCCGCAGGAGACGGGACCTCCATTTATTCGCCCCTATCCGAGAAGACTGGAATTTCTAACCATTTCTTGATGTTATAGAAAGGTAGAAAATTCTTCCCAATTATTTTAAGACCCTGAGTGTTGGTCCGGCCGGGGCTCGAACCCTCGACCTCCCGCACAACAGTCCAGCGCTCTATTCACTGAGCTAACCGGGAGGCAAAATGAAACGGTAGCCACGCTCCTGACCTTAATATGTGTGATACTGTATGAAGAAATTAGATTTTAGTCATCCTCAAGGGCCAAAGAATGAACGCTCATCAGTGTTTGTGAATTTGCTCTGTTCTCCTGTCTAACAGACTCCCTGTTTATTTGGAAGTGAACTAAACACATTGTCTATTCAAGTGGAACTAAATTACCAATGCACACCTGCTTTGCTTTGTTAAGGAGTCCCCTGGTACCCATTGAGGTACAATGGGAATTTAAAATTACTCTCCTTCCCGTGGTTTTAATTAGAAATATAACATGTGCATGATCTTGACTATAAGGCAAGCATGGTATGTTGCAGAGAAACCCTAACCCCTTGGGGGGGGGGGAGGGAACCAGGGGCGTGCACCTCTAAAAAATGTGAGATTTTAAGCTCTCTAAGACAAGATTTCTAGCAATCTAGGAAATATTTGAGTGACACTTTTAGCCAGACATGGATGTTACAAAATAACCAGTTCAAAAATACTTCATTTCTGTAGTTGGTGACAATTCACAAAAGTCAGTGCTAAATGGACTGTCCAGGCAGTGCTGCCAAAATGTTTACACCATTATCAGTTCAAAAACATGTATATTCTATATTTGATGACAATTTGCAAAATAAGCCGGCGAAAAATCGTCTGACCAGGCAGCACTGCCAACAGGCCCCTAATGACAACACCGCCTTCCAACAATTGGCAGTCCACCCCTTTAAATGGGTTCTCTACCAACTCATTTTTTCACATATGTACATTTTATAAATCAAACCAGATGCTGAACTTACTTTGTCATCCAAAGTGAAGCGATGATAAATTCCAGCTGGAAGAATCATCAAATCACCCTTTTCGACAAAGATGCGAATCCACTTGTCATGATAATTCCTGATGTCAAAGTAGCCACTGCCATCCAGAATAAATCTGATCTCCTCGTCAGTGTGAAGATGCTCTTCGAAAAATGACTTGATCTGCAAAAAATGCGCAAATTTGTCTATACACAAGTAGAGAAAAACATGGAGAGTAATTTAAGTGTTTTGACAAAGAACACCACACAATGATGTAGCAGGGTCTTGATTGTGCCATGCCCGATTAAATGGCTCTACTAGGATGAAAACATGGCAAAAGAAAATGCTCACTTACTAAAAAAAGACACCTACTTTTTGCTCATAGTTGGGCAGCTTCTCTGGAGTGCAAGTAATGCAATCACTGTATGAATATCCTCTCTGCTCACGAA